TCGGACTATATACTCTCGGACCATCTACGCTTGGACTATCTGCGCTCGGACTATCTACGCTTGGACTATCTACGCTCGGACTATCTACGCTCGGACTATCTACGCTCGGACTATCTACGCTCGAACCGTCTACTCTCAGACTATATACTCTCGGACTATCTACGCTCAGACATTTGGACGTGAAACTAGCAGTAATCTTTCAGTTATATATTGTGTTAGCAGTGCGTTGCTTTTGTACCATTTCATCAGTGATTGTTGTACAGCTTAAGTTGTGCTAATGCTAATGTTAGCATACGTATCACATCGTAAATTAAACCAGATGGCTCCGTGGGAGGAGAGCGTAGAGGAAATAAGAAGCCTGTGAGTGAGTTGGGGGCGGGGCTAAACATTCAAACTTGCACAAACAGGTACAGCTCCTTTAAGATGCACTTCACTCTCTTGCTTCGTTCTCTGCGTCTCTGCCTCGGTTTCCTCCAAATGCTCCGGTTTCCCCTCCCACTAAAGACATGTATAATACTAACACCATAACACCATAGCTCTGGGCAGCACGGTGGCTGAGTGGTTAGCACTCTCGCCTCTCAGCAAGAAGGTCCTGGGTTCGAATCCCGGTTGGACCAGGGCCTTTCTGAGTGGAGTTTGCGTGTTCTCCCTGTGTCTGCGTAGGTTTCCTCCGGGTGCTCCGGTTTCCCCTACCACTAAAAATATGTACAATAGTTCTGGCAAGTGCCTCCTGTACTGGCCCCGCTCCCAAAAATAACAATTGTAAACCGCTTTGAGACTCCGATGTGCAGTGAAAAGGCGGTATATAAATAAAGATTACTACTACTACTACTTACTACTCTGGTGTGTACCTTTGCTACACACTTGGGGAAGTCTTGCACAGTTTTTCCACTGTGGTTTTACTGCAAATGGCAAATACAATCTTTTAATCTTGAATCCACTAAGTCTGTCTTTTTCCTCCACTTCTATGTGTTTGTAGTTTTACACATCTGAAGATATCACAATGTGTTAGTTTTATTGTTGAAATGGCTTCATCTTTCTGCCTTCTCTAATCTCCTCTGTGCATAAACGTCCTCCGCCCTGACCCTCTCTAACTCTCTGGACACTTTGGGCGTTAAAACAATGTCCTCATGAAAGAGACAGCGGTGAGTCTTGTTAGTTCAAAAAGGCGCAGTGTGTTTACTTTGTGGTGACGTCTCCAGAGACCGGGTTTATCCGATGACACATGTCTCAGCAGTTACAGGACGAGGAGAACAAGCATCTGCCACAACTTCATCATGTGTTCACTTCCCGGGTCAGAAGGTCGAAGCAATGTTTTACAGTAATAAATGCAATAATAATAAAAATATAAATCTATGCAGTAAGAAAAACCACAATTACTGCAATTTTATTTTATTTTTTATTTTTTTCAAACTTGTCCATTTTAATTTTTGTAGAATTAAACAGGTTTGTTTGAGATTGTCAGAGAAGAAGACGTCTCACATTTTCAAGAAGACTGTTTCTGTCTCTCTGGTCTCTCCCTCTGTCTCGCTCTCTCACTGGTGTCTCTCTCTCTCTCTCGTTGGTCTGTCTCTCACTGGTCTCTCTCTCTGGTCTCTCTCTCTCTCACTGGTCTCTCTCCCTCTCTCAGGTCTGTCTCTCTCTCGCTCTCTCTCTCTGGTCTCTCTCCCTGGTCTAACTCTCTCTCTTTCTGGTCTCTCTCTCTATCTGGTCTCTCTCTCTGGTCTCTCTCTCTGGTCTCTCTCTCTGGTCTCTCTTTCGTTCTCTGGTCTCTCTCCCTGGTCTAACTCTCTCTCTGGTCTCTCTCTCTATCTGGTCTCTCTCTCTATCTGGTCTCTCTCGCTCTCTGGTCTGTCTCTCTCTCTCTCTGGTCTCACTCTCAATCTCTCTCTGGTCTCTCTCTCTCTCTGGTCTCACTCTGGTCTCTCACTCTCTCTCTGGTCTCTCTCTCGCTCTCTGGTCTCTCTCTCTGGTCTCACACTCTCTCTCTCTCTGGTCTCTCTCTCTCTGGTCTGTCACTCTGTCTCTGGTCTCTCTCTCTCAGGAGGAATGGCCTGTGTTAATTGACCTGTTTGTGCACTTGCCTGTTAGCGTTTGTAGCCTGTTAGCATATGCAGCCTGTTAGCTTACATAGCCTGTTAGCATATGCAGCCTGTTAGCTTACGTAGCCTGTTAGCATACGTAGCCCGGGGTTATGGCATGTACAGCAGCAGTGGTGCGTGTGCGGCGAGGCCCTGCGCCGCTGCGTGGGCGCTGATGCTGCATTATATTGTCAGGTTTCACTCTTGAGGCTAAAATGTTTGCACTTGACTAAAAGCAGGACGCCCACTCGCTGCTCGTTCATAACCACCGCTGTTACACAACCAGCACCCGGCGTGCTCCACGGGACGCCACCTTCTCCCGACGTCCTCTGCACAGATAATGGCTTCAGAGACAGACACGGCAGGGACCAGAATAACACCGCAAAAAGTGATAAAAAAATCATAAAAAGGCTCAAATG